GAAGTAAGGATGTCCTCCTCTCCATAGGGCCCTTGTATTGGGAACCAGCAGAGCCTGGCTCACAGCAGGCTGTGGGACGCGGTGGTCGGCTTCCTGCACGTATTTGCTAACATGCAGATGAAACTCTCTCAGGTACTGTGGCCGTTCCTGTGTGTATCATTGGTGTGAGATGCTGAGTCAGTCCTCACCCCTTGGTATTCCTGTTGTGGCTGCTTGATCAAAGGCTGGAAAAGCCCTGCAGATTAGGTCTCATTTTTAAAACTGAGGGCCAAAATGGGAGACAGGAATGAGTGCCTCCAGCGGGATCCCACACAGGCTTTTGCATGAGTGCAGCTTCCTTCCTGTGTCTCACCAACCTACCCTTTTTGAAATTGCCTCAACACTTGCTTTCTGTGGAGCTAATCCTTTTTCTTCCTTGTGGTTTTGTCCATTTCTAACCACTATCTATCTACCAGCCCCGTCTGATCTGTCGGATGTTGCATGTCTCTGTAACCTGCATACCGGTACCTCCTCTCTCACCTTTGCTCCCCCCCATCTCTGCCTCTGCTTCTCCCCATCTCTCTGGCAAGATGAATCAGAATCGCTCAGAGCATTTATTACAAACAAATAAATGTAGCATATGTAGTAGCTGATCACCTCTCTCCATGGCAACACATGAGGGAGAACTTCAGGATGTGTTTCAGGCTGATTAGAGTAACATTTGCAGGTTTAATTTAAATAATGTGTGTTTAAAATTTTCAAGGCTGTCACATCTGCCTCCTCTCTTCTGGAATGTGCTATTTAACCCTTTCTTTTTTCCCCTTTTGACTCTGGCCGTGTGGGAGGAGAGAGTTCTTGGAGGGGCTGCTAATCTGGCAGTAATATGTCCACTCCTGTGTCAGCTGGGTCAGCGTGGTGTCGAGGCTCTGGAGACAAGAGCCCCCCTGGCCCTGCCACCTCCTCACCAGTGACTTTCGGAGAGTCACTTCCCCTTTCTGGCTTTTGGTTTCAAGATCTATAAAATACTTGGAGTTAGAATAGATGACTCTGGAGGTCTCTTCCCAGCTCCAATATTCTACTCTTTTATGATATTTTGTATATAGCTATGGCACATGCCATAGGTGGGGGTAAATTCCTCTGAAATTTGAAGCACTAGGCAATAGAGCCATGGAGGTCTCTTCCCAGCTCCAATATTCTACTCTTTTATGATATTTTGTATATAGCTATGGCACGTGCCATAGGTGGGGGTAAATTCCTCTGAAATTTGAAGCACTAGGCAATAGAGCCATGATTTATTTATTTATTTTTTTAGAGAGAGAGTCTGCAAAAGAAGTCTGACCCAGAATACATTTTTTAATTTCACCCTCAACTCACCCACCTCAGATCTAAGGTGATGCAGGTTGTAAAGCACAGAGGTAACTTAGCAATGCCCTTTTTGCATTGCTGAAATTAAAACTAAACTGACTAGCAACAAAACCATCCAGAGGAAGAGCCTCAACTATATCCCATTTTAAGGAACCTGTAGCACCCAGATCACCACCAGAGTCAGGAGAATCTAAATTAATCCAGCAAGGAAAGTGACTAGAACCTTGATATCTTAAATGGGTTGCAACAGTATTCCCTTAAAGCTCGCTGGTCATTCTCCAGTATAGAAAATGACAATGTAAGCTACTAGACATACCTAAGGGCTCTTTAGTGGATTGGGTTGTTCCGTAGCTTTGGACAACAACTGGCATATCTGCCACATTGTAACTACAAAAGGAACATGTGAAGGAGCTCTATGGGACGAGTCCTGCTACAGTGAGTCTCCCAATGCTCCAGACAGTGGACGAGGAGATGTCCTCCTCCACAGCGAGAAGGCAGCTCGTTCCTGACCCTGGCGCAGGCTTTGCCGAACCTTCCCAGAGCAGGCTCTTCTTGCTTCACTGCCCTGTCCTTTGCCGAGGGATCAGATAGCTCAGGGGTATCTCCTGTTTCTGTTCTAGGATTCCAGTCAGATCGAGCTGCTGAAGGAACTCTTGGATCTCCTTCAGGACATGGTGGTGATGCTTCTGTCCCTCCTGGAAGGTTGGGCTGTTTGGTATAACTAGGCATTCACACAACTGTAATCGGTCTGAGCACTAACCTTACTAATCACACAGATTATCCTTCTCCTTCTGGCAGGATATTGATGCCATAGGACATTGGTTAGAAAGCCAAATTTTCAGAAAAAAAAATGAGTGAGGGGCACATGGTCTGATGGACAAAGCCTGAAACCAACTCATTTTATGTCAATAGGAAAGCCAGAATGAACTGGGGAAAACCTCCAAGCTTTGCTCTTCCCTATCCTCTCCCTCTCCCCATTGCTTTCAATACATCTGGCTGCTGGTGTGTATGCCAGCCATCTAGTTAGGCACCATCCTAGGTCTAAGAGGATAAGAGGGACACCACATATCCCTATGTGTCCCCAATCTGATAAGGAAAGCACTTCCCAGGCCCCAGGCCAGATAAAAGGCAGTGGTGTGGCCATCTCCTTCTTCTCTTTGTTTCCTTCTCCCTTGGCTCCTTCCTAGTGGTGTAGTCTTTATGGCTTGCTGCTCCCTCCTACCCATTTCCAAATCATCATGGTCAGAAAAGGGCTGGCTAACTTGGCATAAAAATAGGTACCTGACCCGTTACAAGATGGCTTGGGTTTATTTATATGTTCGTATGTCTTTTTGAACCTGCCTCACAGGGAATGTGGTAAATGGAACTATTGGCAAGCAGATGGTTGACACACTGGTAGAATCATCTGCCAACGTAGAAATGATCTTGAAATTCTTTGACATGTTCTTGAAACTTAAAGACTTAACCAGCTCAGACACCTTCAAAGAATATGACCCAGATAGTAAAGGGATTATCTCCAAAAAAGAATTCCAGAAGGCTATGGAAGGACAAAAGCAGTACACACAGTCAGAGATTGACTTTCTCCTTTCATGTGCAGAAGCTGATGAGAATGACATGTTTAATTACATTGACTTTGTTGACCGTTTCCATGAGCCGGCCAAGGACATAGGGTTTAATGTGGCAGTGTTACTGACAAATCTTTCTGAACACATGCCAAATGATTCTCGCCTGAAGTGTCTGTTGGACCCAGCAGAAAGTGTGCTAAATTATTTCGAACCATACCTGGGACGAATCGAGATCATGGGTGGGGCCAAGAAAATTGAGCGTGTTTATTTTGAAATCAGTGAATCCAGTCGAACTCAATGGGAGAAGCCCCAAGTGAAGGAATCTAAGCGACAGTTCATTTTCGATGTTGTCAACGAAGGTGGGGAGCAAGAAAAGATGGAACTGTTCGTGAATTTCTGTGAGGATACAATCTTTGAAATGCAGTTAGCATCTCAGATCTCTGAATCCGACTCAGCTGATCAGTTCATTTTCGATGTTGTCAACGAAGGTGGGGAGCAAGAAAAGATGGAACTGTTCGTGAACTTCTGTGAGGATACAATCTTTGAAATGCAGTTAGCATCTCAGATCTCTGAATCCGACTCAGCTGATCGGCCAGAAGAGGAGGAGGAGGGAGGCGAAGATTCTTCTTACGTGTTAGAAATCGAGGGTGAGGAGGAGGAAGACAAGTCTTTTGAGTCTGCCTCTGCATTTGCCATGGCCTGTGCCTCAGTGAAGAGAAATGTTGCCAACTTTCTGAAGAGGGCAACCCTGAAGAACCTCAGGAAGCAGTACAGGACCGTGAAAAAGATGACAGCAAAGGAGCTGGTGAAAGTGTTCTTCTCTTTTTTCTGGATGTTGTTCGTGGGGCTATTCCAGTTGTTCTTTGCCATATTGGGAGGAATCTTTCAGATCCTCTGGAACACAGTGTTTGGGGGGGGCCTAGTTGAAGGAGCAAAGAACATCAGAGTGACCAAGATCCTGGGCGACATGCCCGACCCAACCCAATTTGGTATCCATGATGATGCTCTGGAGGCTGAGAGGGCAGAGCCAGGCATCACAGCTGAACTAGTACATTTCGTAAAAGGTGAGAAGGGAGATATGGACGTTATGTCAGACCTCTTTGGACTTCGCCCAAAGAAAGAAGGTGGCTTAAAACATGGGCCTGAAGTGGGTTTGGGTGACCTCTCTGAAATTGTTGGCAAGGATGAACCCCCTACATTAGAGAGTACTGTACAGAAGAAAAGGAAAGCACAGGTAAGCATAATTTGTTTCTATTGCTTTTGTGTATCTCGGGAAAAAGACCTGCCACTACATCTTGTAATCAGTACTGACACCCCTTGCCCAGGATCCAGCATTGTATTAGACACTGGATGTGCTATGATTACCTTGATCTTGTAATTCCGGCTCTGATATGTCTGGGGAAATTGAGACTTAAATGGTTGTCTCAGTGTCTGATCACTGGCGGTCTTCCAGTTTTCATTGTAGAATTCAAACATGATGTTTTGTGACCCTCACTTTGCTTCAGACTTTTATTAGACGGTTAATTCTCATGTTACACAGGTTTATTGAGTGAACTGAGAACATAGAAAATCAAGTATAACATAAGAGGATACCTTTCTGGTGTGACAGTACTTCTGCAGTGTCCTAAAGGGTCCAGATGTCATGTGGTTTAGCATAGCTTCCCAGCGAGTTTGATAATGTGTGGGATATCTTTGTCCTTGTGATGCCCACACTATCCAATTAGCACTTCAAGTCAGTCAGCTAGATTAAGTGAATACAATAGCAGTAATTCAGAGCCCCTTGGCCACAGAAGGTTCTGGGTGTTCCCCCTCTTGCTCATCGAACTCACAGTGTCATTCTAGCATCAAAGAGAACAGAGTCTAAAGACATCTTTTATTCATTCATTTCTTTATGACTTACTGAAAAGTTCCTGTACTTGTCACTGATTTAGGCTCTGGGAATTCAGTGGTGAATGAGAAACACATTGTTCCAATAGTTTCATGGAGAAGATGGACATTGGGCAAGTCAATACAAGCATGAAGAATGTTAGGAAGGAGAAATGTCAGGCACTATGGAAATGTATAGGGGAGAACTCTCACTTGGTTTGGAGAGTCAGAAGGAGGCATCACAATCATAGGCATTCTTATGAGTTTAATTCACTTATTCTGTTTTGCTCCCTGATGTAGCCCCAGGGCCTAAAACAGAGTTTGATACATAATAGAGACTCATTCAGGGACTTCTATGTGCCAGGCTGTGTTCTAGGATGTGAGAATACATTGCTTAACAAGAGAAACAACATTTTCGCTTTTATGGAGCTTAACTGCTAAAGGGAAAAGACGACAAATAAATAATTGCCATTTGTGATGTGTGTTATAATAAATGAGCAAGCTAATGTGTTAGAGAATGAATATAGGACCGACTATAAGTAGGATAACCAAGGAGGCTTCTGAAAAGGTATCATCCGAGCCAAGTCCTGAAGGAGAGTAAGCACTTAAAAGCTAGGCAGTCACAGTCCAGGCAGAGGACATGGTTAGTGCAAAGGCCCCGGTACACAGAAGAATTCGGAATGATCCAGGAAAGGAAAGGAAGTCTGCCTCTTTGGGTGTAGGAGACAATGAATCAAATGGTACAAGATGAGGATGGAGAGAAAGGCCAGGATCCTGGAGGACTTGGAGGCCTTGGTAAGGAACTGGAATTTTATTCTAAGCGCAGTGGCCATTAGCAGGAGGAATGGGGAAGGTGGCCAGAGGATTAGAGACAAGGCAGGACGCCTGCCAGATGGAAGCAGGATTGGATGTAGTTTGATCTGTGTCCTGTCTCTCGCTGACTCCATGGGGCAGTGGAACCACTGCCATGGGACTCTCACAGTGTCCTAGCACAAGTTTCCTCTTTGAGTTGAGTAAATAATAGAAGGCTGTTGAGTTCTCAAGTGTGAAACCTTTATCTTGGCATCTCTCCAGGGTAGCTTGATATATGAGGGTACTTCAGAAAGTTTGCAGAAAAACTGAATTAAAAGATAATATGAATCTTTCCATGAACTTTTTGAAGACCCCTCATATGGTAGGACACTTTCATTTTGTGATCCTCAGGGAAGCAGAAGCACAAAGAGAAAAAACCATTGAGACCCGTGACCAAGAAGAAAATGTCCAATGTAATGGCTCATCATCAGGATCTCACTTCGCAGCAACCTTGACTGACTGTTATTTTTATCTAGGCAGCAGAGATGAAAGCAGCACATGACGCAGAAGGAAAAGTAGAATATGAGAAGGCAGAGTAAGTTCTTGGTAGCATCGGCTACTCTAATTGCTATCATAGATAATTCTTGATGCCACCTACTATTCTATTGCTATGGTAAATAGAAAATTTGATTTCTATTAATATAAGAAATAGAGATTCTGCAAGCCCTGGGTATATTTCTTTCTCCCCCAGCTATATAATAAACCCATTCTATTAATTTTGGTAACTTTATAATCTCAATAGTAGATCAGAGTTTTACTAGCAGGATAAACAAATTATTATCGTTGGTGACAGTATCTCATTTACTGAATACTTATTACATGTCAGGCCTGTGCTAAGCTCTCTTATTTCATTTAATTCCCACCACAAGCTTAGAAGAGCAGGTACTATTGCTAATTCCTAAGAAGGCTCACAAAATAAAAGACAATTTTTCCGAAGGGAAAAAAAAATCTGTTAAGCCAGGTATATTTCTTTCTCCCCCAGCTATATAATAAACCCATTCTATTAATTTTGGTAACTTTATGATCTCAATAGTAGATCAGAGTTTTACTAGCAGGATAAACAAATTATTATCGTTGGTGACAGTATCTCATTTACTGAATACCTATTACATGTCAGGCCTGTGCTAAGCTCTCTTATTTCATTTAATTCCCACCACAAACTTAGAAGAGCAGGTACTATTGCTAATTCCTAAGAAGGCTAACAAAATAAAAGACAATTTTTCCGAAGGGAAAAAAAAATCTGTTAAGCCAAGTATTCACAAGAATAGTACAAACGTGTATGGATAACTGATGTACAAGGGGTCTTCAAAAAGTTCATGGAAGTCCCCATACCAGCCATCTGCCCCCCAAAAACAATTAATGGAAGGATTCATATTATCTTTTAGTTAAATTTGTCCATGATTTTTTTGAAGTACCCTTGTGCACCTGTGACCATGGCTCATCAAAATGGTCACCACTTATGAAATACAAATTTGACTTCCAGCCACTGTGGGTTGATAAAGACCTGAGGTTTCCACCCTCAGGGAATGACCACATTGCCCACCCCTGTCAGCCCAGATTTATCTTTAATTTAGTCTTCTTTCCTGGGACAGACCTACCTCTGTCCTCCCCTGCTGAGCTGGCTTCTCACTCCCGCAGCATGGAAGATGGGGAAAAGGAGGACAAAGCCAAAGAGGAGGAGCAAGCCGGGTACCCGTGGGCAGAAGTGACAAAAAAGAAGAAGCGGCGGCATGGTCAGAAAGTTGAGAAGCCAGAAGCCTTCATGGCCAATTTCTTTAAAGGGCTGGAAATCTACCAGACCAAGTTACTGGTAAGTGCTCCAGCCCTGGCCTTGCTCCTAGTGCAGGCATTGGCCCGGGCAGACCTCAGGCGGGTGGCTGCTGATTTGTTTCACCATTTGGTTGGTCATGCTTCCTCCCCTTCCTCATGCCTCTGCTTAACTCTTCTCATTTATCTGCCTGTTCCTTTTGTGTTGGAGGAAAAGAAAAAGGGGATGACCTGGGAAAAACCACAGCCCTCCAACACCTCTGCCCAGCAGCAAGGTGTCCTCTCTAACCTGTTTTCTCTCCAGGAGAGCAGAAACACCTCTTTCTAGCTTGTCCTTTATGTGTGTTGTGTGGGGACTTAGCCCATCCTGGTCAAAAAGTTCAGAAGTAGTTTGATCATTTGGGATACAGAAAGAATTTTCTGTTTTAGGTTAGGTCCCCACACTAGTCTTCAAGCTTTATTATTCTGCACGCAATCAAACTTCAGTACAGCTTGTAGTAGTCTTTCTCTGATAAATTGCAGTTGCTAATGGCCACCGAGGTACAGTTGGTAATGTCCAGGACTACACCATTAGTGAGGGCTCCTCTCCACAGAGGGATTGGGAACTTCCCCAAGCAGCTGCCATTCCAGTCTTGAAGGGCTAGTTTTCCCGGGGAAGATGGTAGAGAATGGGACGGCACCCCCTGAGAAGGGCAAGGAAGAGGCTCCTGGGGCTGTAACTTACAAGGGGACAAGGACTCTAGGCCACAGTCTGGCTGCCTCCAGAATGGGGGTTGCAGGGGTCTTCTGTGGGCTTAGATCACTCATAATTTCCAAGTAGACTACTTCCTGCGTAGAGTGATCATGAACACTTACACACGCAGCACCTTCACAGCAGTACGTGAGTCCTCTGCTGGTGCCACATGTAGGCATTTTGATTCCCTAAGGGATAAGCAAAACTGGTGTTCTTTTGAGCATCATTCTAAGAATTTTTTTAAAATTAGCATTTCTGGTTCTCCCCAAGTAAGTCATGCCTGTGTTAAGAAGGCCAGGATTGCCCTAGAAGAGTGGTAACCAAAGAGTAAGACTAGTCTGTGTAAACTTGTAACCAGAACAGGTCTTCTGTGTGAGAGAGGGAAGTTCTCTTTCCCTTCCAAAGTACTTCTACTTCTCTGCCTGTCCTTTTCTTTTCAGCATTACCTGGCCAGGAATTTCTACAACCTGAGGTTCCTTGCTCTGTTTGTAGCCTTCGCTATCAACTTCATCCTGCTTTTTTATAAGGTGATACTTCATTCAGGGGTTATTTTCTAAATATGGTGTCTGCTAAGTATACTTTATTTGAAAAAACTATAATAGAAGTTATGCTCTTAATTACAGCAAAAATTCTAATATCTAACTCTAATTCTAATTTGTATGACATTGGTTTCTGAAAAGTATATGATCTTTAGCGGTGGGAAGAATGGAGAGACTGCTGACAACGGAAGCCAGTTAGGGGACTGTTTCAATAGTTCTGGGTTGTTTTTGTCATTTACTTAATTTAGTTTTCAAATATTTGTTGAGCATCTACTATGCACTAAAGCTTGTATAGTACAAACTATGAGGTATTTCAAAATGAATAATAAATGCCTTTCCTTGAGGAATAAGGTAACCAAGAGCCATTATAATTGGCCCATATGTTAGAATGATTATGAAGGAAGAATTAACAGGCCTTGGGAAGAGAGGGACCAGTCAAGAGAAATGAAGATTTTGAACATTCATAAGTGGGTCTTGCATGCTACAGGCATGTAATAACTGTTAGTGGAATGAATTAATAAATAGTCCTAGACTCTTGACATAGGCTTTTTTTGTTTTTTTGAGCAATGTTTATTTTAGAAGCTATCTATTGTTTTCCTAATTTTAGAATTTCTGACTCTTAAATGTTTAAAATAAAAAAATTTTTAATTGACAGGTAACATTGTACCTTTTTATTTAGAAGCTATCTATTGTTTTCCTAATTTTAGAATTTCTGACTCTTAAATGTTTAAAATAAAATTTTTAATTGATAGGTAACATTGATTGAAATAACCTTTTTATGGTGCATATGTACTCCATAACTATAATTTCATTCTGTATTATGTACTTCATAACTGAAGCACTGTCTATGTACAACATGAGCCTTTGAAGTACATATACAGTGTGGAAGGGTTAAATCTAGCTAATTAACAAATGTGTTACCTCACAGCATTATCATTTTTATGGTAACAGGACATAATATCCCCTCTTTATGTTTTTCAAGAATAGTCTTTTACTGGCTTTTCTATGTCTTGCCTTTCTGTTTTCCTATTTAAAACCAGCAATCAGTTTTTATAAAACATTGCTTTATCCACATCAAACTTTCACTTCACAAACTAATGGCTTTCCGTTGCCCATAGAAGAAAAATGGAAGTGTATTGCAAGGAGTGGCAAAGCTTGATTTTTAACATAAAATGAGGTTGAGGAGACCCTAGACAACCATTCAGGTGGAGACAGCTAGCAGGCAGAGTTATAGGACAAAAATCTGTAAGGTGTAGATTTGAGAGTCATGTGTGTAAGAACGGCAGTTGAAGTCATGAATGTAAGGGGCATCTCAGAAAGCATGGAAAATACTGTGTGTGTGCGTGCGAGTGTGTGTACATGCTGTGCTCGTGCGTGTTTGTGTCTTAGCCTCTTCCCTAGCCAGGGCATTTCTTTTTTTTTTTTTTTTTTTCCTTTTTGTCTTTTTTCGTGACCGGTAACGGGATCGCAACCCTCAGTGTCACGCCCGTACCGTGACCGGCAACGGGATCACAACCCTTGGTGTCGCGCCTGCACCGCGCTCAACCAGTGAGCGGACCGGTCTCTATATGGGATCCGAACCCTCGGCGGGAGCGCCGCCGCGCTCCCAGGCTCCGCACTCTACCGAGTGTGCCACCGGGCCGGCCCAGCCAGGGCATTTCTGAGATCACCTACACATGGATTATAGCTTGTGTAGTAAAACTTCCCTAATTTTAATTTTTTGTCTTCTTTTCAAAAGATAGGGTTTAGCTCTTAAAAATTTTGTTGGCAATTATCAGAGATACTGGGGGATTCCTGGTAATAAGTTACCTAAAACCCTCATTCATTCAGTCATGTTGAGTCACTACTATCCACACAGCATATGCGAACAATATAAAACAGGTGGGGAGAGCCAGTGGCCAAGGCTCTCAATGATGTTAATAAATGAGTGTGTGTCTTGGGCCAGGTCACTGAAGAACCTTTAGAAGAAGAGACAGAGGATGTTGTGAACCTATGGAATTCCTTTAACGAGGAGGAGGAGGAAGAAGCAATGGTGTTCTTCGTGCTGCAGGAGAGCACTGGGTACATGGCACCAACGCTGCGGGCTCTGGCCGTTATCCACACCATCATCTCTTTAGTCTGTGTGGTGGGCTATTACTGCCTGAAGGTGAGCTGCTTGCTACTCTGGATCTAATCTGACTCCTTGAGAAAGAAGCATCATTTTTGGATCCAGCCAGCTTCTGCTCTAAGACTTTGCTAATAGAGTCAGGTTCTTGAGCAGCAGCACTGGTATACCTGGGGGCTGCTTAGAACTGCATATGCTCGGGCTGCACCCCGACCTTTCACATCAGAATCTTCCAGGTGATTTGTATGCACATTCTCATTTGAGAAGTCTTGCTCAAGGAGTCCCTTTTCAGAAACTCTTGTTGAGTTTCATAGAATTAGAGTCATCAGGCTAAGTCACATATACCTCAGAGAGTTCCTTCTAATCTTTGAATTGATGTTGGAATTTTATAAAAGTACCTTTTTGTTAGGTTGTAACCATTTGAGATATCAGAAGGAATGTACTGATGGGTTACTGTTTCAGTATCTACTGCTGCATTACACACCACCTCAGAACTCAGTGGTTTAAAGTGACAACCATTTTATCTCTGTGATTCTGTGGGCTGACTGGGCACATCTGGAAAGTTCCTCTGCTCCATGTGGAGGGGCCGCATCTGCAGCTATCTGGGAGTTCAGCTGGGCTGGAATGGTCAAAATAGCACCTTCCCATGCCTGGCCCTTTGGTGAGGAACAGCTGGAAGGCTGGGCTCAGCTGAGGTAGCTGGGCTCTCTCTCTCTTTCTCTTTCTCCATGTGGCCTCTCCACATGTGATCCCTCCAGCCAGGTAGCTGGACTTCTTGCATGATGGCTTGGAGTTTCCAAAAAGAGCTCAAAAGTAAAAGCTGCTAGCCCTTCTTAAGGCTTTGGTTCAGTGTCATTTCTACCACATTCTGTTGGTTAAGGCAAGTCACATGCCCAGCCCAGATTTGTTGTTGGATGGGGGTGGGGGGACTACAGGAGTGTGTGAATACCAGGAGACATGGTTTATTGGGGCCATCTTCTGACACTACTATGGTTATGTCAATCTTCAATCATTCAATTTTTGGTGTTCTAAGTCCAGTTCTAGTTCTACTACACCATGATTTTTTTTCTTATTACTTTTTCCTCATTACCATTTTCTCTTACTTCTCTTAAGTAGGAAGTCTCCTTGGCTATATACCAAGCCATCTTCTTCCTGGGAAGAGGCCAGGAAATACATTCCTATCCTGTGGTCCTTTCTTCCCCCCGACTCCTGCCAAACTACAGTATCATGGAGGAAGTCCAGCTGCACTGCTGGAGAGACGGTGTGCCTGGACCACATTAAGGGTTCCATTGTAACTACGAAAGTGGGGGCTGTGGAGCCAGGCTGTCTGGGCTGGACTCACAGCTCTGCTACTTAACCTCCCTGGCTCTCTGTTTCCTCACCTGTAAAAATGAGTATTATAATAATAACACCTAAAGGTGCTGAGCGGATTAAATGAATTAAAACATGTAAAAGTACTCAGAACACTGGACATAGTAAACCCTAGAGCATATTAGCTACTGTTCCAGAATCCTAGAGCTCAGCCTGTTGGATGGGGCATCGATATACTGGTGACTTGGAGAAAAGAAAAATACTATCTAGGGAATGAAAATGTGGCAGTTCTGTTCACAATGGTATACTGACTCCTAGAAGATTGAAGGGCAGTGCTTCCAGTCCCAGAGATCAGCACTGCTCTAAAACTTGGTATTGTTACTGTTCTTCAGTCATTTCAAAGCACGGCAGACACAAAAGTAAACTAACTAAATAAATAAAAACACAGCAGACATTAGTCAGGGCGGCTTTAGCTTGGCTTCCCTCCCTCACCGTCCATCAGCTCACAGCAGTCACTGACCCGCACAGCGTGCGACACCTGTTAGCCTGAGCCACCCTCCGAGCACTAGTCTTCTTATTTCCTCACTGTTGTTTCCTTGTTTTAAAGAAAAAAAGGGCAAGACTAACTCTTTCTAGATCATTATCTAAATTTCGCCCTTTTGTTTTGGAAATAAAAGAACGGTGTGGAGTATGTGCCTATCATGAGCTTTGAGCAAGAGTTATTGGAAGAAACAGTTTGGAGACCAAGGTCTTAGGGATGTTATCGAGTAACCAGTGGCATCCCAGCTGAATGAGAAGTCCTAGGTCTGTCTAAATTAAGCTTTTCTGGCTAGAGGAGCTCTGACTTCTGATCTAAGATTTCAGCAGTATCCTCTGACCACACCAACTCTGTCCCAAATTTGAAGTGTTGTGTATCCTTAGTGATGATGGGGGCAAGTGGATTATTTTCCTCTCCCTTTCTGTGTTCCCCTTTGGTGGTAGGTCTTTGTAGCTATGCCACCATATCTAAGTCTAAAATTAAAGTTACACTGATAAGAGAATGGGGAATGACAGCAGGAAACAAGTGTGCTACTGCCTGGCAGGAGCTCTTTATGGAAAGAATCTCAAGAAGAAAACTTGAGTACTAAAAGACTATGTACAGAGTTCACTGAATCTTCCCATTCTGTCAAACTATGTTTCATTAAATAATCTTCAAAGCCATGAAATTAATATGACCTGGGCCACTGAAGGTGGTTGGAACCATTTTATCACATTCCTATGTCTGGCCAATCTATTCTAGAATAGTTTATTGTCCTTTCTAAGCTTTCGTCTTCATTCAACTCCGGTCTGGGAGTCTTAGGAGACCTAACTTATTTGACCCTGGGACTCGTGTAAATATGGCCTCCTCACCAGGATGGGGCAGGGAGTCCAGTTTGTATTAATATCAGCTATTTAACTGAAACCTTAAAGGGTGGCCCAAATCAGATCAACTTTTGGAGAGGCAGGTGTACTAGCCAAAGGGGTAAGAAGAGATTTATTTGGTTTATTTATTTGCACACTTTGGTTGCACAACTAGGCACTCTTAAGAATTGCACTATAAGGTGATTGCTGCTTTGAACTTGGAAGGTTAATTGGTAACAAAAATGCTTTAAGCACAAAGGCTTCTCTGAGTAACCAGCATCTTCCCACTCTTAGGTCCCTTTGGTGGTATTCAAAAGGGAGAAAGAAATTGCCAGGAAGCTAGAGTTTGATGGCCTGTACATCACAGAACAGCCTTCCGAGGATGACATCAAGGGGCAGTGGGACCGCTTGGTGATCAACACCCCGTAAGTGCCTCCACCCCCGCTTAAGAAGGAAATGGAGTCTCTGCTGTACATAGAATAACTCTTGGTTCATGAGCCTTGGAAACTGATTAACATAAGCTTCCTTTGGTTTCTAGGACTTTTCTCCCTTGGCTTTTCAATAAAGTAGCTTATTGCCCCTCAAACACTTGTATATATCTCTATGAATTTAATGGGGACAAAGGATGGTATCAGGAGGTGATGAGAATATTTGATTAAGATCAGCCAGTCCAGTACAATATTAATTAAACTAGTTCTCCATGTTCGAGTCATACAAAGTGTTTCTAGGCTTAAGTGGCCCAGGGGTCTGGAAATCAAGCAGATCTGCCCCCATATGGCACAGCAGTCCTGTGGCAGTATCATCTCTGAAATCTTCTCCTTAAACAGATAGGCTCATTGGTAATAGACCTCTTCCCAACATAATGTTGAGAGGCAGTTGCATGGGCAGTTAAAATAGGGCCATCTGGGTGGGGTGTTAAGACCTGTGGTGGTAAGCCTGGCTTCCCGGTAGGCATGTGCTGCTGTGGTGGAAAGAGCTCTGATGCTGAAGGCAGAAAGGTGACCTCCAAGTCAGCTCTGCAACTTAGTGGGCTGTGAACTTGGGCAAGGTAATCAAGCCTTCTAAGCCTCAGTTTCCTCTTTAGTAATAGAGGATGAGATTACCACCTCCCACAGTCCTGGGAGGATTAATGAATGCATGTCCGATGCCTGGCACATGCCTGGCACATGGTAGGCATCGAGCTGTCACTCATTCCCTTTCTCTAACTGTTCCAAAAATGGCCATCACCAATAGCGAACGCCATGGTCTAATGCCAATTTATTCATTAGATAAATGAGAGTTGCAAGATAAATTAACATGATGAAAGAAAAGTAAAGAAATAGGGCTAAATACGTAAACAAAGGTGACTCTTAGCTGTGCCAAATAAGATATGCATGTTTTAAAATAACAATCCTGACCCTAGGGGGAAGAAAATTGCTTCTTATCCAATGATTGGGCAAACTGAGAGGCAGCTCTGCAAAGGTACAACTAATATATATATTTTTTAAAAACAATCTCTAGGAAGGAAAGGCTCTTCTCTTGAGGTGGGGCATGGGGAAAGAGCATGCAAATCCAAAATCTGAACCTGCCCTACAGGTCCCTGCCAATCTCATAAACGACGCAAGGAAAAATAAGGAAGACCACTAAGCATTGTTCGTGACCCTTTGTCATTACATTACAGAAGTGTGGGATACGATTAAGTAATTCGATTCTTTGGTATGCTTCCTGCAATTATCAGTAATGCTTGTGTCTGTGGTACAAGGTGATATGGCCCAAAAGTCCCAGTAAAAAGGCAGTTCAATTTCTAGAAATTTATCTTAAGGAGAAAATGAAACAAGTACACTAAGATGTCCCAACAAAGATATTTGCTAACATTTTTTGTCTGAAGTGATTTAAATGTCCATGAGTAGGGAAATGTATAAATAAATAGAATAGCTATTTTTTAAATTTTAGATAAATTAACCTACAATTTTTCTCACAATAATGGCATCATAGTACATATAGTATTTTGAAACTTGCTTTTTTCTTNGCGCACTGTAGCAGTGCGCCACCGGGCCGGCCCAGAAACTTGCTTTTTTCAATTGAGTATATGTCATACAGAGCTTTCTTTTTTTTAATCTTATTTTCATATTGTTAAATACACATACACAAGAACATATAAAATGTATTTGTGCATTTTAAAGTATAATAATAAACCACAAAGTTTAAAAAATAGAACATTGTTGAACACTTAAGTCTCCTGTACTATCCTCTCTCCCACCCCCCAGCTAACTACTTTCCTGATATTCATTAGTGGTTAGTGATATTCATTGTTAATTAATTAGCAATTAGTGATATTAATTAGTGATATTCACTCTCCTCCCTTAATTTATAGTTTTACCACTTAGTTATTTGTCCCTAAATATATTGCTTCATCTTGACTATTTTGAACTTTATATAAATGGAATTATACTGTGTACATTAAACTGTCACTTGAATCTTTTGTTCAGCATTATGTTCGGGAATTCACTTATGTTGATGTATATAGCTATATTTTGTTCATTTTCAAAACTGTAGCATTTTCCATTTTTAAGTATATTATCGTGTATTTACGATAATAATGGAATAATAATAATGTCAGGTCCATTTTCCTGACAGTGGATGTTTCGACTGTT